TTGTTAACTAATATTAAAGTTAAAACCCCTCCGTATTCGATTTGCATAAGAATCGAAGACACTGGGGAAATGGTCAGAGTGGTAGCAACAATAAACAACCCGTTGGCAGGTCTGTCGATGGTTCCCTCTTCCAAGAATTGCTTACGAGCAAGCTAATGGTGCATTTAGCTCGTTAGCATATGCTAGCATAAATTAATCGCCAAAACGAGCAAACGAATAGTAGAGAGATGTCCAATCGCTGAGGGATAATATTAACGAGAAGATGTAATGGTGACCTAATTCCACTTGGGCTCGAAATCGGGATTTTCAGTCTCACTGGTATTTGCCACCTTATTAGATACTACAAGATGACGCCGAGCACTCCTAGAACTTCAATCCATTTCATAAGATGTACTCCTAAATAAGTACTACTAAAAAGTAAGACTGCTTTAGAGGCCATATGATGCTGAAAATAAGATACTGAGATAAGCAGCATTGCCATATGACGCTGAGATAAGCAGCATTGCTGTTGTGAATTTTTTTTTGAATATGAGGAAAAATGTGTGTTTCCGTTCCCAGTCTTTCAGCTAAGCAAACTTGAAATTGCACGTTGTAGTGAACTGCTACCAATAACAATATGTGCCGACACGCATGGACAATTCCGGGATGTCCGATCCATTTTGAATATGTGCGGTAACCCACTCTTACAAACATATTTGTTCCTTGGCGACTATGTCGATCGCGGATCACAGGTATTCCTTGTTTTTTTTTTTCACTAACAGCGGAAATCCATCGTTTATGAAATGAATATTTTCCAGAAGTTTAGGCTCTGCTTTTTATGTTGCAATACCAAAGCGGATGAAGGGAGAAGGGGAGAAACAATTTCTTTTTCAGCAGAATTTCCTCAAGTCTTTCTTTGTCAAGTTGTTTTACTAAAGACGCCATGACCAGGATGCAGCCGTCTTTATTTCTCTTATCAATTATTTTGTTGCCATCTTCAGAAGTGCAAATTATCATCACTGATTTTTCTTTTCAATTTTGTAAATTATTTTCCGACCCATAATGTTAATATCGTGCAGACACTGTTAAACGGGAATAAGAGATAAAGGATTGGTCTAATTGTAATATGTGTAATGTGTATGAGGAAATATCAGGAGCATTCTGTGTTTCATCCCTTAGCTGTAAACACAGACCGTACGAGTGGAATCATCACTGCAGCCTCCTACCCGCCATGTGCTGTACGGTCATGTGACTAACTTGCAAGACGGATATGCAAAAAAACCGAAAGAGAACATAGGAAGAGAGAAGAGAAAGTTATCCCACAGCACAGACAATCACTGTCTGTCATTTATAAGCCAGCATTATTTTTATTGAGAATAATGTGCTGTTTGAAGTAATATCATGCAGGAAGGGAATACTGCACACATAGCTTCTGCATAATAATTATGTTTTCAGTTTTTCAAATTACTAGATTGCTTAACTCAACAAAACAACAGTATTCTGTAAATCCGTGACCAATATGACCGAGCTGTGCTCATTTTGATGTATTAGAAGCTCGGCACTGACAAAACCAGTTGTAAAATAGATGATCCGTATTTGTTTTGAGATAAGCTTGTTATTCCATTGCCGTACTCTTAGCAACATGCCAAAAGGCATTTCAGAAAATTCTAAATTTTCATTGCCAGACCAGTAGAAGAAACCTGGCCTGTCTGCATCTGATCAATGGAATTGATGCTGAAAAGCTAATCATTGCAGAGCATCGAAAACATAGCGATGTTGCTGTGTTTTAAAATCAAGTACCCATCACGTGTGTATATGTTAAGAGGCAATCACGAAGACGCGAACACAACGCTTACTTACGGATTCTATGACGAATGTGTTGCTCGATTTCCGAACGGCAAAGGAGAATTGGTAGATTCGCCTTCTCTGCCTCGATTTTTTTTTTCTCTGAATAAATCCCCACGATCCTTTGTTGCTTGTTTTGAAAACAAAGTTTCTTCCG